CTGCAGGCCCAACTATTACACCAGCGCGAGAATTATGTATACCACAGAGGATGGAAAGAGAATATACAATATACTAACTGGGCTGGGTCTGAATAAGTCACGTTTGTCTCGACTTCGAAGAGATATTGGTTTTTAAAAAATCCTCATTAAATTTTGCAAGGCAAGAACTGTCCCGCTCAGAAATAAGTTCTTAGATAATTTAGCAGCGGCTCTGTAGCAGGTCGTTCTAAGACTAACTTTAGATGCAGTAAGGGCAACTAGCAATAAGATGCAAACGATATGGACGTCTATGCATGTGGGAACAACACATCGGACTCAGTAATTCTCACCCTCATATAACATTTTTGAAAAGTGGTACAATTTTCGTGTGTATTATTCTTTAGAAACACATCAATCTATCCAGCAATAAGTCAACTTTTGACAACTTTCATTAAACATTCCTTGATCAGGAACATGCACCCATGTACGACCCCGATGTGCAAAGGAAACATGGGACTCAGTAAGTCTCACCCTCATATAAAAATGTTTAGCGCGTTGAATTTCATGACTACCCGACTAATCTCTTCAATCAAAATGTTTTAACCAAATCACGTTTTCCTTATCATATCAGGAACATAATAACCTACGCGTTTCAAGTAAGATAAAACCTAAACATGCACATACTAATTTGTAAACGACTTCCAACGTATTAATTGCAGTCGCTATTTTTACATCAACTTCTCTATCTAGCCTACAGATACTGCAAGCCTTAAACAGCCCTTATTCTGCAAAAAGTATTAATTACTGACTGCTCTCTCAGTGCAAAATTGTTCGTCGCAACACTGTAGCAAATTGGGCAACGATGAAGCGCGTTGCTTCTTGGCTTCCAGAAGCATATGCTGCTTTGATCCGACTGCCACTTAAAAGTTAAAGTTGTCATTGATTTTTGCAGCTTCAAAGTTTTGCCTATTGTGACTTAGCTGCTCACTCCGAAAAAAAAGTAAGCAAAAAAAGGCTTCATGTTCTATTGTAGATTTTTAAAAAAAGGGAGCCCTTTTCATCGGTTTTAGCTAGAAGCTCAATCAGTAATAGCGTGAAACATGAAGAATAAGAAATAGGTGATATTATGCAGTACGAAGGTGATAGTGGAGGTTCGGCTATTCCCAGAAGTATTCAAAATTGAGACAAAGACTTTTTCATCAAATGCTGAATGGCATTCAAAGAGACTGTGAGAAAGAATGAAAATAACAAGCGGCGAATAGAAGTGGTTAATGGCTTGCCTGCGGCTGTTTTTGAAGATATGAAGAAGGAAACTAGTAGGTGTGAGTCGTTCTCATAGCGATGAGATAATATGATCAGTAAACTGCACTCTATCTGGTAACATGACATAGTGGACTACCCATGTTTTATGGAACTACAGTGTTGGTAAAGACGGTCCTCTGCATACGTTCGTTTAAACCTTTCCTTTTGCAATTCGTATAAAGACCCATGTAGAAGCGTGCAAACAGGACAAGTGCTAATGCGTTTTTTACATAAAGCGTGTCATAATCATCAATACAGGAAACAGAAAGAATAGAGCTAGAAAGATGGAAATCTTTGGTGCAAATTTTTTACTAAAGCAAAATCTGACAAGAAGCAACAGCTCTTGGAAAATTAAGTGGTTGCAAATATAAAAGCGCTACTGATTGATTTGTCGAGCAGCGTGGAAGCGAAAAGTGTCTGCAATTTTGATCGTTTGAGTGGCGCAAAGAGGTGCGCGTAAGTATGAGCGTAAAGATAAGGTTATCTACCGAGAACTGAGAACATAGGTAAAAAATACTGCATACCTTCAAAACGTCTATGATTAGGGTTGCAAATTCCCGGACGTCGTATTTGGCTAGCTTTTGACGCAACTGATTTCTCGTAGCCGAGAACGCGGGATTCAACTAAATTATGATCAATGATTCAAAAATTCAAAATAAGCTATGCCAAAATATCTAGCTAGTGAAAATATCTTTTCGGTGATATTATCCAAAACATGAAAACGCACTTTGAAAAAATCACCATCGGCATACTTGAAAATGACTTTCGCGCTATTGACCAA